AAATGGTGTAGCGTAGAGGCAAAATCAAACTCTGATTGATGCAGCAAGGACCATGCTTTGTGACTCTAAATTATTGGTCTTCTTTTAGGATGAAGCCATTAACATGACATGATATGTTCAAAACTATGTTCTGATCAACAAACAGCAGATGAAGACTCCATATGAAATTATATATGGTCATAAGTCGACGGTTGCTCACTTCAGGATCTTTGGATGCCCTTGCACACTACTTCACCTAGAATCAACTCCTAATTTTAATTCAAAGGTCGATGACTACTATTTCATGGGATATGCGGAACATAATAGTTATCGAGTCTACAACAAATCCACTAAATAGATCGTGGAGTCATTTGATGTGCACTGGCTGGAAGAAAACACAACAGACGCTTGAGTTGGACCAGATTGGTTATTTGATTACACTTATTTGTTTAAATCTTTTAATATGTTGTCATTGGCTGATTCAAACCATCTGTGGTGATTCTTGAATCTCCTACGGTGGATGCAACCACACCTAATACATCTTCTTCACCTGTCCAAAAGTCTATATCCGACACCGAATCCACTCCCTCAACTCTCGAAGAAGATGAGGTTCTCTCACGGGAAAATGTATCTGCCACTCAAACCTTCATGGAGTCTCTCTTTCTAGAGCCATTCATAAAAGAATTTGTGGCAAGTACTTCACATGATTACAGATAGTCAGATGGAGGTGATTGGGCAGCAAGAAGATTTGACAACATTACAAATCTTCCAGTTTCAGCAAATGATATCATCCATTCTATCCTAACCAGATTTCAATATGATCGACCTATTCAGAACATTATTGGTCCACTAGTAAGCGGAGTTCAGACTAGAAGTCAAAGCGGAGATGTCAATGAATGTCTCTACTCCTATTTCATATCCCAAATTGAACCAAAGAATGTGGACATGATGTTAAATGAACCGAGATGGGTAGGTTCCATGCATGAAGAACTGAATCAATTTGAGAAGCTGAGAGTATGGCAGTTGGTGGAGCTACCAAAGGGGAAGAAGTCTTTGGACACACATTGGGTTTTTAGAAATAAGAAAGATGATAGCGGCATTATTGTGAGCAACAAAGCTCGTTTGGTCGTCCACAGATTCAGGTAGATAAAGGCTCTTGACTACACTGATGTTTATGATCCTATTGTATGTTTGGAAGCCATTCGTTTATACCAAGCATATGCTTCCTACATGGGATTTACAATTTATCAATTGGATGTCAAGGAATCCTTCTTGTATGGAGTCATGAAGGAGGATATTTATGTTGATCAACCACCAGGGTTTGTCAATCCAAAGTTTTTAAATCATGTATATAAACTAGATAAGGCTTTATATGGTTTACATCAGGCGCCTAGAGCTTAGTATGCTACTCTAACTGAATATCTTCTTAAATATGGATACATAAGGAGAACGATCAATCAGACATTGTTCATCAAGAAAGTGAATGCGGATTTGATTGTCGTATAGATCTATGTAGAGGACATCATTTTCAAGTCGACTAGCATAGAGCTATGCAAAGAGTTCGAGGATGTAATGAAGAAATATTTGAAATGAGCTCGCTAGGTGAGATGACAATGTTCCTAGGGTTACAGGTTAGACATGATTAAGCTAGAATTCTATTACATCAAGGAAAATATGTGGAAGACATACTAGAAAAGTTTGGTTTTAAAGATTCAAAAATTCCTTCAACTCCAATGGCAGAAAGACCATTGTTGACACCAGATCCACATGGGGAATCCGTAGATCAAACTGAATATCGATCGATGATCGGATCTCTAATGTATCTGACTGCCGGTAGACCTGACATCATGTTTGTCGTCTGTCAATGCGCTCGTTATCAGGCTAATCTTTAACTCTCTCATTTAATTGTTGTTAAGAGAATTTTTAGGTGCCTTAAAGGTAGCCCTAAGTTGGGTCTTTGGTATCCTAAAAATGTCGATTTCGATTTATATGCTTTTGCTGACAGCAACTATGGAGGGTGTGATCTTGACAGGAAATCTACACTGGGTGGATGTCAGTTTTTAGGTGATCGATTGGTGTCATGGAAATGCCAGAAACAGCAAATGGTGTTGACTTCAACAGCCGAGGCTGAATACATTTCCGCCTCAACCTATTGCTCTCAGGTTATCTGGATTCAACACCAATTGCTGGATTATGGTTTGAACTTTCTTGATACTTCCATATTTTGTGATAATCATGTGGCAATTCAAATTGCTAAAAATACGGTTCAACATTCCAAAACCAAGCACATTGACATTAAAATTCATTTTATTCGAGACTGTTATGAGCACAAACTCATTCGTTTGGAACAAATTCACACTGATAGCAACATGGCGGATTCGTTTACCAAACCCTTAAGTAAAGCTCGTTTCGATGTACTTGTGGGCTTTCTAAAAATGATACGTTTTGAATATTAAATTTCTATTTCCTATTTTTTTGTGAGTTTGAATTTGTGCATTTTTTTTCTCCATGCACAAATTTAGGGGGAGAAATCAAAAAAATTATAAAAGATTATAAAATCAAAAATACAAAAATATGTTTTTTCTTTTGTAAATACTTTTGGGAAGTGATATGAAGTCTAGTGTTAAAGGGCAATTTGAAATGCGTGTAATGCACTAAAGCTAAATTGTTTAGACTTTATGTTCATTGTGCTGGTAGACACGAAGGATTGAAAATTAAAGGACTACACATAACTGACAATGAAAGGACTTGATTGTGTTAATTTATATGGACTTAGATAGTTACATTTGGACTGACCATATGACGCTCGGATAGATTGAGCAGTGAGATAAACAAGGGAACCTACCAGATACATTAAAGTTACGTATTATCTAAAACTGTGGCTCAACACTTATTCGGCATACGGACTTATGTCCTTAATTCTGGTGTTGATAGAATGACTGGGGAGTTCTGATAAAGTTGGTATGTGTGAAATTGTTTTTCTTTCTTATCCTCTCTATCGGTCATATGTTGCCGTCTGTGTGCGATCAAAAGATCCGACCTGGGACGCAACATATGCAACTTTATCTCAATGCACCTCTTTATCTATGCAATTCTTCCTATCTGTCAGTCATATATTGTCCCATTTGCATGATTGGAAGATCCGACCTCGGACACAGTATTGGAACCTTTCTATCTCTCTGACCCTCCATCTATGTTAGTCATATGTTGTCCCTCTGCGTGATTGGAAGAGATCCGACCTGGGATACAACATATGCATATCTATATCCATCTTCTCTCTCAAATAAAGCACTCACCTAAAGTAAAGAGATCTTTGGAATTCCTTAATTGCTAGGGTATGTCGTGAACTGGGGAACACGTTCTAGTGTACTTCAAATTTGAATTAACTAAAGGTTGTCTATAGATCTCGCTGCTGAATTTAAGTAGACAACAATATCATTGGTCGTCATCAGCAAAATGGTCTGTTTAGGAATATAATCACAATGTCTTGTCATTTATTATCTGTCTATTTTGTCAATATCTTTTATGTTTAAGTGGACCACAATACCAGTGATTGACCAGAGTTATTCATACAAGTGTGTGCTTATAAAATTTATTAAATTGCTCAACAACTTTTGATCCCAAAATATTGGAATTTATTTAAGTGTGTTTATTTTAGTTTAAATTTTTATCTTACTTTATTCTTAATTTTATTTGTTTTCATTTTAGATTATGAAAATTTTAAACTTCATTTTATTTTATTTTATTTTATTTTACTTCAATTTTAAATTTATTGTGTTGATTGTCTCTGAAATGAATCATTTAAATAAAGCACGTCAAACTTGGTGGCCCAAGAGGCCAAAAACCCAAATGCTGGGATATAAAAGATATAATTTTTGGATTGAAATTTTCTTTGGTTTCTTGAAATTTTCTTGAGTTATACATAGTTCGAACATCATGATTTATATTTTATTGTGTTTTAAGTATTTTTCAAGTGGCTAATAGAGTATTTCCGGCGTGTTGACGGTGTTTTCCGGTGTAACGGTCAAGGAGATGATTCGTCGGGTGTTTCTCAGGTTTTCGGCTTGATTCAGATCCGACTGAAAACCATTTCATTTTGACTGTAAATGTTTCATCTGACCGCAAACAACATGTTTGACCATAAACGTTTAATCTGACCGCAAAAAAATGTTTGACTGAAAACGTTTGGTCAAAAGTGTATTCACCGTAAATTATGAAAAGAAATGATCTTGACCAAAATCACTAATTGTTGAACAAATTTCAAATTTTTAAAAAAAATAAAGTTAAATAAATTTTTAATTTAAATTTTAATTAAACTTTATTGTTCTCAATTAATTTGTTTGGTGTAGATAAATGGTGGAGTAGTTGAGATTTGTTGATACTCACAACATCACAGGATATCTTTCGGATCCACATGTGGTGCATAATGAATTCAAATCCATGATCGTGGGTTTGAACAACTGCAGGATTTCTCATGCCTTGCGTTCTAATCTAGTTATTTACAAGGACCTAGTTACTGAGTTCTGTAAGAATGCCTCAATTAACAAGCATGGAGCAAATGGAGCTGGTACTATTGAATCAATGGTAAAGGGAACCCAAGTAATTGTTTCTAAGCAAATTATCCGAGAGGTGCTTGAGTTTGGTGATGTATATGTATTTGCAATTGATTATATTCCTAATCAAGTAAAGGGAGTTCTTTAGAAGATGTGTTGTGAAGGAACTTATCCTCCCACCATCAAGAAATTTTTGCCTCTTTTCTGGAGGTTTTTGGCACATTGCTTCGTTATCTGCATTTCGAGAAGGAAGGGAGGAGCTGATGAGATTAGTCAGACTGCAACCTCCGTCATTATAGCTCTTGCAATGGAATAGGATTACAAATTTCAAAGTTTTCTTTGAAGAAATGAAAAGCAATCTTCAAGGGAAGAAGAAGGACATGATCTTGATGTATCCCAAGTTCCTTCAAATGATCTTCAATAAAAAAAAAATATCCCCAAATTGATAGGTCATCTGACATTTTAGATATGAAAGTTTTGGGTCCCAACACCTTTGGGCTCATGAAGCAATCAAGAAAATCAGCCAAAGGCACTTTTCAAGTATTGAAGGATGTGGTTAAATTTGGAAATTTTGCAGAGACGGAAGGTGTCCAAGCTTCCAGTACTCCAATTGCTATAGTGGATGAAGAACATGTAACACCATCAAGATCAAATATCAGTAGTTCGGTTGAAGTCTCTAATGATGATGATTATGACTCCAATGATATTGGTGATATGAGTTTTTGTTTGTCTGTTCCACCGAAGGAGCCAGTCAATGAAGTTGTGATTATTCCAGCTGAGACTGAGACTGAAATCAATATTTTCAGGCAACCGAATATCCTAACGCCCGAACAGATGGATGCACTTATCAAAGAACTACAGTCTACTGCAAGGAAGCCTCACCAAGCAGTTTATGTTTCGGTTGAATCTCCATCTGAGAGTGATAAACATGAACCTAATGCCTCCTTGGTTCCAAAGAAGTAAAGATGGAAAGATCCAAGGCCATGAGTGCTTATCACTGAGCCCATACAACAATCAGTTCCTATAGTTGAACCATCCCAGGTTCAAGAAGATGTTCAAAGCCCAATCATTGAACTAGCCTAGGTTCAAGAGGATTTTCATGTACTAATTGTTGAATCACTCTAGATTCATCAAGACGCTTAGAGCCCTGATTTTGAAGATAAATTTAATTTCGTAGTAGATGAGGGAACCTTTGCCTCAGGAAGTTCTTTTGTTCCACCACCTCCAGAGCATGATGTTGCATCTATTAAGGCTTCCAAGATTCTTGCTTTTAGAGACTCTATTCCTCAGTTGAGAGGAAAGGGTATATGTATTGGTGATGAGGACCCCCCAACATACTATCTCTAAGCTTAGACAAGAGATATTGATTTTGAAGCAGGAATCCATTGAAAAGGATTTTCTAATCGGGAAGTTGGATATGAGAGTTTCAGAGCTAGAAAAGGAATACTCTCAAAAGAATAAACAGATCTCAGAACTCCAAGCTAATCTTGGTGGACTAACAACTTTCAACTTTGATTTCAAAGACAAACTAATTTGAAAGTTTGGTGATGGGTTCAAGCCATCTAGTTCTGAGAGTGGAAAAGCACCTAAGACTTCTGAGAGGGTGGTGATTAGACCTGCCCCGGACTCCAACATTGATCAACACTTATCTTCTGGTCCTGCTACAGTTGAAGAGAGAAGGGAGAAACAAAAAAAAGTAAGTGTGTTAAAGAAAGATAAAATGCTTCTGATGAAGAATTCTGATCATAATGCAATTGGTGATCAACCTCAGATGTTCATCAAAGAAGTTAGGAAAAGAAAATTTGCTGACATATATTGAAATTATTTGGGTATTCGCATGTAGGGGTTTGAAGTTGACAAGAACATGGGGGTTGTGAAATGGAGTAGCGGTAATACTGAATACTAGGAGAATAAGGTTGACATTTTATCATGGATTAAGGTTGATCTTGCAGAGCTATTCCATGTTCCCTTTCACAATCCTACAAATGATCCCAATGCCTGGGCGTTTAAGAACTTTCTAGAAGACAAATCAAGGCATAAGTTTGCAAGCGTGTCGACAGCGTCATCATTCGTTAGAAAGGTCAAAGGTATTATTGATCCGTGCACCAACAAAACCATGGTAAACGTCATGCGGCTGCCTACAAGGAAAACGAAAAAGATTCCTCTTTCTCAGCCTATACCTGATGGTTCTATAAAATGATCTTCAATTCTGGGTATATGATGAGGCAACAACAACGGGGGTGACCAAGACTAAAAAGGACCAGTTTTGTCTTGTTGATCATAAGGATTTGCTGAGACTTGGTAAGCATGACATTCACACTTTATCCAAGAATCAGCTCATGGTGCAAAACCAAATGTTCGAGGTTGCCGCAAAAGAATTTATGGGCATGATTGCAAAGATTATTGATCAAAAGTTGGGGGCGAGAGCTTCGGCTGGTTCGGATGTTCATCTTGTAGATAAACCATAAAGCTAGCCAGCTATAAACCAAAGGGTAGATTCTTGAGTGATATTTTTGTGGTTTATGCTGGGCTTATATTGTTATTTGTTCTTGGGCTTAGAATATTATTTTGTTAATGGGCTGGTATGTGTTCTCGGTTAGTTGGACCGAAATCACCTAGTGATTTCGGTCATGTATGGGCTTGAGGCCATAATAGGCTATGTATTATGTTCATATATATAGGTTTAGCCGTGTAGGTTTTTATTAGTTTTTCATTCTTTAGTTCACTGCTATTTTGGAGTGCTTATGTACCAGACGGTTTATCTAACAGATTCATGTACATTTGAAGATATATTTGTGTGTTCTTAAATCATTCCTTGATTAATATTCCGCAATCTTTAAGCAATTAGATTGATATTGTTAAGATTCATTTATTTGGGACCTACAAAGGGGCTTATAACGAAGAAGTTTTGGCCTTCGAAAGTTTGGTGATTTTAGGATTTAATTGAGTATACGGGGCATACACATGTGTACGCATGGCATACTAGTGAGAAGGCTGATATGCTAGGCGTACAATGATGTACGTTCGGCGTACTAAGTAGTGTGATTGTGGGTACTCTAGGGAGTATGTTGGGCATACCAGAAGTACGTTGGGCATAATCCAGTCAAACTCAATCCCTAATTTAGTGTCTTGGACCCTATTTAAGCTCCTTAACTCACCACCAAACCTTATTACCTTTAGCCTCCATCATTCTAAACCCTACAATCGAAAACCTAGCCCCCATTTGTGTGGTTTTTGAGCTTTTGGTAGTATTTCATGCTTTTTGGTGTTCATAGAAGAAAAAGGAACTTCTTGGAGAAGTGTGGGATTTCTTGAAGCTTTTGGATCCAAGCTTGTTGCATCTCAGTTGACATTTTAGTGGTATAAAGTTTGTATCTTGATGAATCTAGGTGTTAGATCTATTTTAAGGAGTATTTTGGGTTCATTTTGGTCTTTAGAGTCATCCTTGTGAGTATAAGCTAATCCAAGAGCTTAGAATGTTGGATCTTGGCCTTTAGGATGTCCGTTGTTCATAAAAATGACATCTTTATGAGTTATTGTGGTGCATGCATGAGTTTAGGTGATTATAATGGGTTATATTAAGGTTTTGGTCCCATTAAGACTTGCAAAGGAGTAAAGTTTCCAACTTTACGTGTTAAGACATCTCATTACGGTCATATCCAAGTTTGGAAGTCATTGTCTTAAGCAATAAGAGCTTATTTTATATTTTTGGACCCTGGAGGAGTACATTAGGCGTACGTAAGTCTATGCTCAACGTAATGCGTATTTTATGCATCAGGGGCTTGTACTCTATGCTTCGATGGTGAGTATGTTACGGGTACCATTCGGGTACGTTGGGCGTACTCCCTGGTTTTGCATCTTAGGCTTTTTAACACTTGGTTGGACCATTGGATTTTGGACTTTAGGCCATAGATGGACTTAGGGTTTTCTATGAAGTAGTTCCATGATGGTTTTGGGGCCCAATCGGGTTATTGGGCCATAATGGGCTTTGTTGCTTTTGATTTGGGCTTTGGATTGCCATTTTGGGTTTTGGGCTTTTTATGCATTTTAGGTTGGCCTTTGTATGGACTAGGTAAGAAAAGGGTAAAAGACCATTTTACCCTTTAGGAAGTTTGTTTATGGAGTGAGCCTCACATTTTGTGTTATCGGGTTAATTATTGATTAAGATTGTATTTATTGATTAGTTGGCGTGAGGTTATCCGGTTCACTGGTCCAAGCAGTTATTTAATTATCGGCGGATTGAGGTGAGTTTCCTCACTATGATTAGTGGGTCAAAGGCACCAATTGCAGCCCATGGTTTCGTTATGCTAGGATGCTAGATGTCTGCGTGACTCTTGCATGTATTATATGCTTGTATGCTTATGGAGCGGGGCCTAATGACGGATAGATCTGTATACCGAACGGGGATCGATGTCGGGCGGGGACCATTTTGTGTTTATTTATGTATGTATGGTATTTGGTATTTTGGGGAACTCGCTAAGCTTTATGCTTTCGGTTCTCAATTTATGCTTCAGGTACTTCTAGTTCCAAAGGGAAGAGTTTGGGATGATTGCAGAGCACACACCACTCAATTCCTAATTTTGTGATTTACTCTAATGATAGTTGATGTATTGATACAATTTGTTTATCTTGGTCTTATGCAAATGACATGGTTTACTATTTTATTAATCTAAAAATGAAAAAAATTTAGGTCTTATAATTAGGAGGTTTCAAGTTGGTATCAGAGCCTTGGTTTGAAGGATTGGGGTACACTCTCGAGTGTGAATGAACTCAAACTAAGGAATTGGTAATTTTTCTTAAAAAGAAAACGAGTTTTAAAAAGATTTTTGTAAAAGGAAAGAAATTTCTAGAAGGGTTTTTTGTAAAGACAAAGGGGTGTGATGCATGCAATCTGTCGAGCTCAAGTAAGTGATTCCCATAATAACCATACATGGTTGTTATGATTATATATCATGACAATTGCATGCTAGATTATGGATAAGGATTTGCTCAGGATTTCATGCTGGGAGAGATGCCTTTATATGCCTGATTATTGAGCTCTTAGAGTTGCATGCTAGTATGGTTTTCAAATAATCGGATAAAATGGCTTGATTAGTTGGTATGCTAGTTATATTTTCCATGCCCGAATGTTGTTGCTTTGTGCATTGTAGAACTCTTAAGTGATGTGAGTTAGCTGTTAAGTGAATATGTTATGTCACATGTAACAAAGGTTAAATAATCTTAGAGTGATGGATTTGACCCTATTGCGCAGCTCTTGTCTGAGTCCAACCGTTGTAGGGATGAGTCATTTATTTGAAGGATTATTTATGCTTTGTTGAATATGATGGTATTCATGATGTGGTTATTTGACATTATGGATATTTCTTCAGCAGCTGATGGCGGGATGATCTTGGAAACTTAGGAAATCCTAGGAAGTGCTTCAGTGGGTTTATTTGTGCAGTTCAGCGAGCATTTGGAGTATCAGTTTGAGAAGGTGACTTAGAGAATTTCAGATGATTCTTGAGGAAAGTATGGATAGGTGTGGAAGGTAATATTGGGCCCGTATTACTAAAATCACGGGATCCATGCTCGAATTGGGGAGAGTCTTAGAGAATCTAGGAAGCCTGTGGGATGTGGATTCTTGGGTATGTTCTGATTATTGGTATGATTATTTTATCTCAATGTGGTGATGAGTACACTAGGAGGAGGTTCAGGTTCTAGTTTTGGCTTAGTTGCATGTACTGAGTTGATTGATGAGCAAATAAGGGAGTTTATCTCGTCGGAGATTACCCGCGATATTTTGGAGTAGACTCATGTGATATTTCGTATGGTCAGGGAGGGGATTTTGGAGATTTTGGATAAGTGACTGGGCACTTTACGTGCTGAGGTTATAGTTATTATGGGAGTTCGCAATCGTTCTTTACATCAGTTCCGTACTTGTAGAGCTCCTGAGTTCTTTAGGGAGAATGACCCCATTGCTAGTAGTGGATAGTTAGCGGTTATGGCTAACACTTTTAGGACGATTTTCTGCCATGAGGGGTCAAAGTTCAGATTTGCCTCCTGTCTTCTGAAGGACAGAGCCAAGATTGGTGGGAGGAGGTAGACTTCGCTATGGGAGGTGAAGCCCTAGAGACGATGACTTGGGATGTGTTTGTGACCCGGTTTAGGGCCAAGTTTGCACCAGCTTTTGAGGTGCAGCAGTTGGTGAGGGAATTTCAGGACCTTCACTAGACGACTGAGACTGTAGTAGTGATCATTTCCAGGTTTCGAGGGAAAGCTTTTTTGGTTCTGCAGTATGCTGCAGACGAGAAGATGAAGAATGTGAGATATCATGGCTTGTTGAGGGATGACATTAGGGAGTTTGTGAGTCTGTTAGAGTGTGAGACCTTAAATTATATGGTTGCTACAGCCCGAGAGCGTGAGATTGATTTGGATCACCTTGGGAAGAAGAAGCCAGAGCAGACCCAGATTTCAGTAGGTCAGGTGAAGAGACCCAAGACTCAGGATTCATGTTCGAAAAGCCATCATGGTCGGGGCCATTGTGCCATGTTCGGGAGGACCCAGGAGAAAAGAGGTAGGAAGTTAGGTCGAGGATGCTCAGTTGTGATCAGATGGGTCATTTTAGTCGGGATTTCCCAATGAGTCGGATTCGATGTGTTTTCACTGCAATCAGGTGGGCCACAAGAAGGCCGAATTTCCAAGGTTGAGAGGTGGAGAAGTGAGGGAACCTACTCCAGTTACTTTGAGGATCACTGGTGGTCATGAGGGTAAGTTGGGATTCCTAGAAACGAAGATCCGAGTCTTGCAGTGTCAGTCAGTGGATGCCAGAGTTTCATCAAATGTTGTTGCCGATATGTTACCTTTTTCATTCTTCATGTTTATTATCAGTATATATATATTTTTCCTTAGGATCTTCTTTTGGTATGGGTAATCATTATCTTTGGTTTAGTTCTCTATTATTGTCGGTTTTATATCATTAATAATTGTAATATGCCATTTTTTGCATGCCAAGAATTATTAGAGGTCGTATCTTGTTGAGGGGGATTTAGTTGTTCGATTGTTGTTCCGGTTCTTTGATAGGTTCAATTCATGGGTATTGTTTCGAAGATCTATGTTCGAATCAGCAGGAGTAGTCCCTCTGCAAATTCAGAGTTCATAAGTTTTAGCATTTGTTCTAGTAGGATTGGCAGCCTTCTATGGTAGGACCTTTGGGTCCAAATC